GATGAATGCTTTTCTTGGATGAGCGAGTGGAAGACTGCGCCGACTCACACCATAGCGGGACTGCAGGAACTATACCAGCAACTCTTACCAACTCTTAAACTTTTGGTTACAATAAATATATGAAAGTTCATATATTTTGAACTGCGGTATTAGATACGTATGATGCACGATCTTCACAGTAGAGAGCGCTATTTATGCAATAGCGAATATCAGACCTGAAAAAAATCAGGCCTGTACGGGATTCGAACCACTGACCTCTGCGATACTAGTGCACCGCTCTACCAATTGAGCTAACAAGCCAACTGCGAGCAGGCCGTTAAGTTAATTCGTAATAAATCCGTGATCTTAAACTTTTAGCGTTTAAACTCTGGTAATAACTAACGAAATCAATCTGATGTAAATAAATCGATTTGACAATGGAGGTACGCTAGACGTGATTGTATTGTAAATCTCTTTACCTTTTTAGTCCTCTGTAGATGTTGCATATTAGGATAACTGCTGAGTGTAGAGGCGTGTCGTATCCAACAGTTCGCAATGAAAACAAGGAGACATAGACACTGAGTGAAGTTGAACAATCTTGACACACACGGTTTTCTGTTTTTAAACTTCGCGCACGATCTCGAGGCTGAGATAGACAAAACTCGGTTTCAGTCTCTCTCGACACAGAAAAAATCTTCACCTGTTTTTAAAAAAAACAGTACATTCCTTTTAGTGGTAGTCTCCCTCGCAGCCGTTTTTTTTGGATTTCACGCAACGCTCCCCCAAAAGAACGACTGCTGACAATCGAACTACATTCCTTTCTCCGAATTGGCCAATCACAGCTCAGGTTCCATTTTCAGGAACCTTTTCGCGCCAGACTCACCTTTTGAGACGTCCTATCAGACATCGTTTTCCATCGCGATCCTCATGTGGAAAACACAAGACAAATGGCGGTGCTTGAAGGAGCTTTTCGTAAAGCGTCGTCAAAGTTCAAAATGTTCGAGCTTAATGCTCACCAGAAGCTTGCAAATAAAATATTTTAGTCGAGAAAGAAGATGTTTTTGTTAAGTTGCCAACAGGATCCGGGAAATCGTTAATATATCAAGCACTCCCGCTCATGTTTGACCATGTTACCGATGAAAGTGGTCATATTATTGTTATTGTTGTTGCGTTGTACCAACGTGCGGAAACACGTACTCGATAATTCGGGCCGATTTCCTGTACCGGTGATAAAAAGCCACGAACATAACTAATCGGGTTCGCTCCAGCTAGCAGCGGACTGGCAAATGAAGAAGTATAAGTAGTGTAGGAGACGTTGGCCGACCTAAATTGCAATGTTCTCGAAGCTTCGCCCGGTTTGTTGACGGCAAGCACGAATTTCAGCCAATCACGAATGTGATTGGCTGAAATCAATATTGAAAGCGGTCTAGATTTTCCCATCTAGACCGGCATCTCAGTCTAGAAAAAAAAGGTACAAAGAATATAAAAAATTGGCATATAAGACACAGCCATATAATAAGCATCTTATTAACCGAGCTAGGTCGGTCTGTATGGGAGAATCTTGACCTCGGTCGCTGGTACAGACCTCACTGCGTTCTTGTTAACAGACCTCCCGTGCGGTTAACAAGAACTAAATATTAAACTGTTAAAATGCTTCTGCTTGGTGTAGAACTTCTTTTCTTTCATTAAACTCCTTTTGGGCACCCGAAAGAGAAATTTCACTTGTACTTGAAGTAGACTGCAGGTCTCCTTTGTAATTTTCAGTTCAGGTTTCGATCCCAATAGTTAGCCTATGACCATTTATTTTTTCCTTACAGAGGAGAAGCTCCTCGCCGGAGCCTCTCCTCTTTAAGGAAAAGAATATCCGACACAGGATCTGTGGGGAAAAAGGTTCACCCCCATTGTAACCAAAATTAAGGGGGATGTTCCGAATGGGAGTGTCGATTATTTTTCACCGAGTATCTTCATCACAGCTTGGTTGGCGGGAAAAGGCGTTCGCGCTACATAAAGAGCTTTTAGGGGGTGGGGGTGGGGGTGGATGCGTTGCGTGACATTCTACAGACCGTCTTCATCAGGAGACGAAGTAAACATTGGGGCTCTCAATCCCTGTGTTCATGTAGCGGCGATTTCTCAAATTTGGCTACATATTTTTCCACCGGCTACCTCTAACTCGAGTGTCTAGGCTGTGAAAGAGGGAATCCTTGCAGTTAAGAAGAAAAACTCTTATAAAGACCGAGATCGCAAATAGCACTGGGACAGGAAACACTGGGAAGTCTCGTGACTATCATATCGCAGTAAAGCCGTGGGTTAAGTGACGAGTCCATGTGAGAGGAGAGAGCCAACTTGACGGCAAATTCCTTATCAAATACCGAGGTAGAATTTATTTCTTCTTCATTTTGATATGCAGTTCTTAGTTAGAAGAGAATATCTTCGCACTATGATCCACGCGCAGTAATCGAAGAAATTCAGAAATATCCCCGAAATATTTCGCAAGCACTGAAATAACAATTTGGCCTGTTGGATAATAAATCTCTTATTAAACGCTTTGTTATGTAGTATCGCTGAGTATTTTTACTCGTTGTTTGTATTTTGACTTGCCTGCCCTGGCCCTATGGGCTCGTCAAAATATACGGCACAACTCAGCGATACTACACAACAAAACGTCAGGTGAGATATATTTATCCGTCGAAATCCGGACCGTTTAAATGTATCTGTAATCGATTGTTTTGGCATTCCACCGAATGTCCACCGCTTACGTCAGAAACTGCTATCATTTTATCGCAGATCGCAAGAATATCTCTCAATTTTAAATTGTTACTATGATGGCAAGAGCTTTGGAATATTAAGAAAGTGCTAGACAGAAGTTCCCGTGTAAAAACTCACCATTTGTACATGGAGATTTCTAGGCGTGGAAATTTCGATCAAGCTCCCGGTTTATAACACACTTGAGACATTTTTCATGTGCTCACAACAATTTTATTATTCGTTCCAGTCCGCCATACGGGGGTACGCCTGACGCTTACAAAAAACCAACAAACGATCGCGTGTCCAGTACGCTTGATCCTCCACATTTCTACATAATTTCCAAATTTACAGTTGAGAGTGGTCATATAAGTGATTGATGGATTGACGAAGGAATGACATCCTCTCCAGTAACCAACATAAAAGTAAAAACGAAACCCAATAGTCTTGAACCTTGGGTGTGACTATCTCATCGATAATTATCGAAGCTTGCGTGACGTGGTGTGATGTGTTTGAAAATTAACATCCGTCAAATATGTATGGGTTATTGGCTGGATATTGGCCGTGTCCCTTTTTGCGTTTTTATGGACCGAAACGAAGGTGAGGTCCATAAAAAGGCAAAAAACGAACGAGGCTAATATCCAGCCATCTTGAACGAACAAGCTAGTCAATGAATTATTTATTACATAGCAAAAACATTTCTCTCTCTAGTCGTTATAAGAGTCAAGAACCAGTCGCTCAAAAGAAAGTCAACTGTGTTTGTAGCTCAATAAACCCGCGAGGATCATTTATATTTTCGTTTTGACGGTTTTTTGCTACTTTTTGCGACTTCATCGCCGACACTTCACGCACTTTTTTTTCTCGCGCGGAATCAAAGTAGGCAACCCGAACGAGCAAAAAGACCGGGAATTTGCATGTCACGTTTCGATAGCTGCATACTACTTCATAGTAAGTGTTTAATCACTTCACACAGGCTTAAGTCGACCAGGTCGGTAGCTGTCTGTGTTCAAATGACATTTCGACTGACATGCCCACAATCCTCGACAAAATTTTATGTCTAGGGACACTTACGATAAAACGGTTGAAAACCTTAGAGCCAGAAGTTACCCCTTCCCCCTTTGCAAGCCAGACAAATTGTTTTAAACATTACTTTGGGGAGGTGAAGCAATTATCTTCACGAAAGAGCTGTTACAGAGAAATGTAGAAAAGAACCCTGAACTGAAAAGGGAAAAAAAAAAATCAGAATCCGACCATATTCGAGCCCATGCCTGAAAGATACCAGTTAGGCGCTTCTACTGTCTGAACTACGAAACCGCAGGGAGCGAGGCAAATTTAGTAGATTTCTCGCTCTCAGACTTTTATTCAATAGGAATAAAATGAACTTAGTAATGATATCTGATCCGAGGGTGAAGTACAAATAAAGAAATGATTTTCCCAGGCGAGCTGTTTTAGAAGAAACTGCAAAAATAAAAAAAAAAGGAGAAAAATCAGCCCGTGACAGGATTCGAACCTATACTGCTGAGATAATTGGTTATATCAACTAAGTTGAAACTGTAAATTGGCCACCGTAACGAATAAAAAAGATGACGTTTCGAGCGTTAGCCCCAAGAAACTCAAGAAGGAGCTACGCCAGGAAATCGTTCTCGTTGCCATGTTCCCAACAATGGCGTAGCTCCGCTTTCTGCATATAAAACCACATACAACCCACAATTCCTCCATTCGCTCTGACGAAGGGCTAACGCTCGAAACGTCAGCTTTTTTTTCGTTACGGTGGCCAATTCACAATTTCAACTTAATTGATATAACCAATTATCTTGTTACCCCCACCGACGCAGCACCACAGTTACTTTAGAAACTTTCAGCCTCTATACTTCTGAGACTGTGCTTATTGGGCGCTACTTCCGACTGAGCTACGAAACCTTCTTATTGACTTCTTTGATTTGATTAAGGTGGGTATTTGACTTCAAGATGAGAAGAGGTCCGGCATTTGGTTTAATAATTTTCGTCACGGTTGTTGTGGCAACTGGAATCTTCCTTGCCTACTGGTTTACAAGAAATCAATCATGGGAAGAACATCCCTCCGGATATCCCGACTCCCTCGGCGGACCGTATAAGCACGCAAGCGTGGCATCAGACGCCGGCCCTTGCTCGCGCATCGGGAAGAACATTCTTCAGCAAAACGGTTCGGCCGTGGACTCCGCGATAGCCACGATGCTATGTGTCGGAGTTGTCAATTTACATTCGACGGGAATCGGAGGCGGTGGATTCATGCTCGTGTACAATGGGAGTGGTCGAATCGCCGAGGTGTTTGATTTTAGAGAAACTGCTCCAGCCGCAGCGACAAAGGACATGTTCAAGAATGCAAGTTACGAAGAATTGAACAGTGAGTAAATACTACGCGGACATTGAGGCTTAACAAAAGTAACGTCATATGTTTTGATGAGTCGATCGTCGGAAAAACTGTTGGTGGAATAACGTTCCCTTGGTGGAGCTTGAGAAGAGGAGTGGGGAAGGGGGAAAGAGGGGGGGAGGGGAGAGAGTGGTTGGCGCAAGACCCTATAAGGAAGCCAAACAAAATTGCGTCTGTCAAAAGTCTGCTTCTAATCCCAATCTGAATTGCGGTCAGAATGATAAATTTGCGCTCCTTTTTATTTAATGACTGACTAGGTTATTGTTCACGTAAGAAATTTCAGCTCAGCTATGCCAAAGAAGACGCGAACCTAGAAGAATAGGAATCCCAAAACAGTTGTTGGTCTCTATGACTTCAGTCGTAGACATCAAAACAGCTCTGTTAACACATGGTCGCATAAATACACTTCCCAAATACCTTTATTCTACAATCTTAACTCAGTTTCCGTATCATCTTTCGCGGAATTCTCTTGTGAGCGCTTCACCTGACTAACACTCTTTTTATTCGAATGCGTTTGTTTTACAAGGTACACTGGCCACAGGCATCCCAGGTGAAGTGCGCGGTTATCACGCGGCCTGGAAGGCGTATGGGCGGTTGCCATGGACACAGCTGGTGCAACCAGCAATAAATCAAGCAAAGTATGGTTTCCTTATATATCCGTCACTTTACTTGGCGATTTTAAAAAAAGAAGAAGACATTAGGAAAGATCCAGGACTGAGGTAAGTACCTTTTTCTATCACCTTATATTTACTGAATTGTGGGCTACACATTGGCCCAATGCCTAGAGCGCTGGAGACGGATCGAAAGGTCCAAGTTGAGCCCTCGGCAGTTCATTTTGTTAAGTTCCTGATCAAGACAGTTCACTCTAACAGTGCCGCGTTCGAGGTCCCTACTGTAGGGTGCGGTCCGAGTTTTATTTTTCGTTCGGATTTTTGCGCGCGGGCCACAAATCCGAGTGGAAAAAACGAAGTCTCGTAACTTTCCGTGCAGACCGAGAAAACGAAGTTAGGAAGATATTTATTGTATCTCTCCGTTTAAATTGAGGAGGAAGCCGTAAAATGAAAAGCGGCTCGCTAAACTGACCAAATGTAGTGCACATACTGAGTTGTACATAATATTAGTATAATTTCAGAGCTGAGCAAAGAGTTTCCAGCAATCTGATTGGTCGAGCGGTTCCTTATATGACGCTATATAAACCGCTCCACGCGGTTTATATAAAATCTTAAAGTAAAATGTTAATAAATGTTACTAAAATGTTCAGCTCTGAAATTATACCAAAACAATTATTCGCCTCAGGTTCGGTGAATATTGTCGAATAATCCCCTCGACTTCGTCTCGGGGATTATTCGACGATATTCACCGAACCTGAGGCGAATAATTGTTAAATAATGAGAGGTAACCTGTAATGAACTGGTATGTCATCCTGGATACCAAGCCCACATTATAAGGACGCTCGTTTCTCCACCCACGGGAAGATTGGAGACGAGCAGTTGTAGTTCTGGTTGACTCGGAAGCCGATTTTTTTCGAGACATCTCAAGCGATTCATTACATTTTACATTCCGTTTCCCACAGACAACTTTTTGTTGATAAGAAAGGAAACCTAAGACAATTAGGCGACAATATCACCAACCTGCCATACGCGAGATCCCTCGAAGTGATACGAGACAATCCTGAGAGCTTTTACAACGGATCTTTGGCCAACAAGATCGTCCGAGACATTAGAAAGCGAGGCGGAATCATCACTTTGCAGGACCTGAGAGATTACAAAGTCATCAGAAGAAAGGCGATTATCAACCAATTGGATGATATGAAGTGGTATACGGCTCCTCCACCCGCCAGCGGTCCTGTGATAACTCTCATATTGAACATTCTGAAAGGTATGGGTCAACAGAGTCTAAAAGGGAGTCTAAAAGGGAGACTATAGAAAATTGACTGCCGAAGTGGGGAGGGGGAGGGGGATAGAACTTTACAAAGCCTTGTTGGGGGGGGGGGAAATCAGGTAAGTTTTATCGTCTTCGAACCTTTAGAAATCCTTATTACGACATCACATCTCCGTTGCTGATAACGATGTCAACTTCATGATACCGAAGTTTTTGCTCCTTTTATAGTGGTACACTCATGAATGAAAATATTGCGACCGTTTTAACGACCTCTTGTAGCACATCTTCAATTTGAAGAGCTGTGCAGAGAATTTGAAACGGAGCATGCGTTCGACTGATTGTCGAATGTTTCATTGGTTTTTAGACCGCTTCTTGATGTTAGAAAAACAGCAGGGTGGGTTCAATTAACAATGGCTTGCTAACATTGGCAATGACGTGCAAACAAAAAAGAAACAACAACAAAATACATCCTTTGAATTTCCCTTATGAAAAAATAGTAAATTTTTTACAGAAGTGTAATGAATCAAAATTCGGATATCAAAGTTTGCATTTGGCTGTTGGCCCTTTCTCAAAGATCAAGTGTGTAGAGTACTTTCTATTGGTGTCGGTGACTTGATGCTATGCAAGAAGTTACCTGAGTGATTGACGCTTTTTTTTTTTTTAGGTTATAACATGACTTCCGAGTCGCGTAATTCATTAACGTTTCATCGTATTATTGAGGCCTTCAAGTTTGGATTTGCTTGGAGATCACGCCTTGGGGACCCGGCCTTTAACGTCCACATGAATGAAGTAAGAAATATGGTAACAATTTATAATTACCAGATAACTTTCTTTAGTAGGGCAGACATACAAAAAATTGCGATCATGCTGTCTAATTGTAGGTTAGAACTTACTCAAATACACAAATGAATCCATGGGAACTTTCCAACGTGACATTGGCTTGCTGCATCATACTATTACTGAGGAAAGGCTGATAGTTTCGAAAGAAACTGTTTGGGGCTGCGTCGGTGGGAGTAACGAAATAATTTGGATATATCAACAAAGTTGAAATTGTAAATTGGCCACCGTAACGATTACAAAAGCTGACGTTTCGAGCGTTAGCCCTTCGTCGGAGCGAATAGAGGAACTGTGGGTTGTGTGTGCTTTTAAAGGCAGAAAATGGAGCTACGTTATTCATGTTTTTCTCGTTGCCATGTTCCCACCAATAACGTAGCTCCATTTTCTGCCTTTAAAAGCACACACAACCCACAATTCCTCTATTCGCTCCGACGAAGGGCTAACGCTCGAAACGTCAGCTTTTGTAATCGTTACGGTGGCCAATTTACCATTTCAACTTTGTTGATATATGCGAATTATTTCCCTATTACTGAGGAGATGACCTTGAACTTGCGCGCGCGTTTTTTTGGGGCGTTCAAAGGGGATGATGGTATTGTGATTCTCACCACAAGAGAAGACATACGAAATCATAACGATGGGGAATAAATGTGGGAAATAAAGGTCGTTAGTTCAAGTGTTGTTTGTCATTCACCACGTGTTCAGCCACTTTTGAAACTTTGATAGTGCATATACGTATTTGAATTCAAAGTGCGCGTATGCTCACTTTGAAATCCCCTCATTAATGGCAACTTTTTCGGATTAACGTGAGTGTTCTCATAAACAGTTGGACATCAGTCTCGTCGACGTCATATAAAGTAATCAAACTTCAGTTTCTGTGTTCACGTTTTACAGACAGTCTCCACGATGACAAATCAGACGTTTGCCGAGTTTTTGCGTCAAAAGATTTGGGACAACCAAACTCACAGCAACGCTTCTTATTACGGAAAGTTCCAGTTTGAAAGAGACCACGGTACTTCTCATCTTTCTGTTTTGTCTCCGGACGGCGACGCTGTGGCTCTTACCTCGACCATAAACTACTAGTAAGTTAACCCTTTACACACTAACTTTATTAGTATGTTTATTCTCTTTACAGTACCCTATACATTTGCTAAGGTGCTGACAAGGAGAATTTGTTTAAAAATCACGAGCTGCTTCAGTTGATGATGACTTCCCATATTCTTTTAACCTTCACGTGTGATTCAGGGGTACAATTGTACGGAGAAAGTAGATGCTAGTCCCCCTTAGGGGTGAAAGTTTTAAATGGTACCAGGATTGATGGTCGACCACTCAGTTAAAGTCTCATTAGCCTAACGTTTCAATGGAGGAAGATATTATCCCGGCTTACATTGTCCAAAGAGATTAAGAATATAGAATGATCTAGCCGGGAACTAAATATGAGTAGGAATGATGTAAAAAGATTACAAGTCTCATGAACCAGCCTAGCGGTTCATTACTCACAGAGCTTATCCTGGTTTACACGGCGTGAAGTGACGCCTCCCAGTTGGCTCAATGGATAGAGCGCTGGACTGTTGTGCGGGAGGTCAAGGGTTCAAACACAGGCCGGACCAACACTCATGGTCTTAAAACAAGTGAGAAGACTATGCTACCTTTCTATAACATCAAGAAATGGTTAGATACTCTAGTCTTCTCGGATAGGGACGAATAAATGGAGTTCCCGTCTCCTGCAGGGTTAGGGGTAGGTGACGTTAATTTCCCACGCACGAGATTACTGTGTGATGGATGTCCTCCCCTGGGGTGGTTGCTGGGTTGGAATTGGCCCTGAAAAACCCCCATGTGGAGTGGTCAATATGTATGTATGTATGTATGTATGTATGTACTAAGAAGGAGTCTAGCAAGGGAGTCTATATTCGATAACAACCACCTCCTCCCTTTTCAATTCCTGAGGCTTTCTTGATAGTTCCTCAGTTTCCTCGTCTTATTTGCCGTATTGTGAAAGTATGAGCAAGGAATAGTTGCCATGTTTTCAACCAGAGAGAGCGAAAGTACATTACTATCATTAGATTTTGTAATCTGTTTTGATAAATTCACTCCCAAATACATCGCAAACACAACCTATGTTGCTAAGTTCCTCATAGTTTGAAGTTGGTATGCTGTATAACTATTACTTTTTTTTCATTTTTTCTCACTCGATAGTTTTGGGTGCAAATTTCGTTCCACATTAACTGGAATAGTCTACAACAACGAGATGGGTGACTTTTCTACACCAGACCACCTCAACCCAGATGAGATAAAACCGTCCAAAAGTAACTATATCAAGCCCGGAAAAAGACCTCAGTCCTCTATAAGCCCTGTTATTTTCACTGACGGAAGTGGTAGAGTGAAACTGGTAGCCGGCGCGTCTGGGGGACCACACATTACAACAGCGGTTTCCCTCGTAAGTTATAATTAGAACGTTTCACACGAAACCAATTGAATTCTGTCATCTAAGCTGCAAATTTCTCGTTGTTTGATCTGCTGATGAGGGATATTTTCTCTCTACTCTGCAGACGGTTGTGAACCAACTATGGTTGTCACGTGGCATTTCTAACGCTGTCAACGATCCACGAGTCCATCACCAGCTATTTCCAAATACGGTCATTATCGAAGAGCCTCCATACACTATTCCCCTAGGCATTCAAGATGGTTTAAGAGCCCGCAAACATAACGTCACAATGGAGAGTGAGTTTGCAGCAGTGCAGGCAGTAATTCGAAAAAAAGATGAAGAAATCTTTGGGAAAAGTGATCCGAGAAAGTATGGATGGCCAGACGGTTTCTAAACTGATAAACAAACTTTGATTTCCTCTGATAGCACACCAGTTTTAAAGGTTTGTTTCTTTTTGACTTACCACCTGGCAAACATTTTTAGCCGTTAGGGACATTTCACGCTGCGCCAGAGAGGATTGATACAAATGCCTAAAATTGCAGAATATCTTTGTAAAAGTTTTAAGATCTATGATGATAAAATTAATTTATTGCAACTCAGATCACCACTCATTCTTATGCCTCTTGTCGGAGGACGTGGCCAATCCTCAAATAGCCGCTCCCCAGGCTCAGTTGAGTTGGCTGGCGTTTGTTAATCTTCTTGACGCATGTTACTCCTTTGAAGGTGCGGAACCGAATGCAGCAAATTCTTCACTTCTGCCCTTTACATAGGATCAAGTATCTACAAACCATTAAACCTAAAATGCCACACAAGCCATTCTATCACATAACGCATTTTTCTCCCTCAAAACTTGCAAGTCATGGAGAGGCATAAATAGATTGTGCTCAATAACTTTTGCCAGAGCAATTTTTAGCGTTTTTAGCAACTTTTTGTATTGCGAGCAACGGTCAGCAATCTAGAACAACTTTTGCCTTCCTTGGCAACTTTTGAGTGAACAGAGTTAAAAACTGACCAAACCATCAAAAAGATCTTTATCAAAAGGCTTTTTTTTATCAAAACTGGTGAAAACTAAGGATGTCGTACGTTCTTACAAATAATTCATAAAATAACACGTGCGCCCACAAACTGGACAGCAGCTATCTATCTAACGGGCGCCTACATCCAGCGGTTATTCGCTCCAACAATAGAGCTTCCCGCGCGTGCGAGGCATCACAATTAGAAGCTGAAATGTCTGACGAGGAAAATGAAAATAATACAGATATTGACCCTATTGAGGTTACCATAGCCGCTGGGGCAACTCTTAATAGTCCTGCAAGAGCTTCAATTTCTAGAAAGCGCAAAATTCACGTCAACGAAGGCAAATACAAACAACGAGAAGCCGTAGCTCGACCTCGTCCTCAGGGAAAGGAAACAAAACAGGCGCTTGGGATGGCGTGAAAGACTATCCAAAACGTCATTAGAAAATACTTTCTGTTATTACTTACGTTGAGATCATATCGATCACAACAAATGATGTTAAATTACACATACAACGTCACGTCATGTTTTGAGTAGTAATCCACAACAAAATGACTGGCAACTTTTAAATTTTTGAGCAACTTTAGAGGAACTTTTGGGTGCATTGTCAAGCAACTTTTGCTGGATTTACTAGCAAAATCTATTTATGCCTAGTAATGGACACTTTTGACACCATTAATAAGATGAGGGGGGATAAGTGGGGGAGGGGAGAGGGGTAGAAAGTAGGAGACCCACTGTGAAATGAGAAACTGGGAGTGCTGCAATAATTTAGGCCAGAGCTGTTCAATACAAGAACGATTAATTGGATGATTTTCAGAGCAAAATTCTATAACTAAAACAAAGCTACTAAGGATGAGTGTTAAATCAAATTGATACTTTATTCAAACAATTCAATACATTTTTAAAATGTCTGTAGACAAACAAATAACTGTCCTTAGATTAAAAGATACTCAGTTAATTCTATAGACAAGCAATTAAATGTCTTTAGATTTAATACAGATATTCAGTTAATGCTATAGAAAAGCAAATAAATGTTTTTAGATTAACAGATATTCAGTTCATTCAATAGACAAGCTAACAAATGTCTCTTTACCTTCTCTTAACACTTGATCATATCCACATGTTAATTTGCACAATATAAATATTAAATTATTATTATACTGTTCTTTATACATTGCCCATTGTTCCCTAGATGCTGACAAGGGCAACTTGTTTAACAATAAAGAGCTTCTTAAGCTGGTGATCATTTCCTTTATTCTCATAACTTTAATGTTTTGATTCAGGAGTGGTATTGTTAGGAGAAGTTAGATGCTTGTCACTCTTTGAGTTCAAACAGCTAAGACTGTAAATGAATGACAAAGTTACTTAACCACATCCCCCTCTTTACAAGAAAAACCTAAAATACCGTGACGTAATCCTTTACCGTTTTAGTTTCCCTCGGCACAGATTAATTTGTGGCCGAAATAAAACAACTACGTCACATACATTATTTTTAAGTGCATGGTCCATTCTCATAGTTTAAAACGCGGTGGTAAAATTATGTGGTTAAATAATATCCATCTCCACTACTAAGAAGAAATTGTTTGCTTACGATCATTAAATCTAAACGCAAAACTAATATCTAGGACTCCTCGATTCCAATCCGCTAACTTATTTTAAGTTTTGTCATCAAAAGAAGCCAATTGGGATAGTAAAAAGATTTCCAGATTAGCAGAAGACAATTTTTTGGGACTACCAAAAGTCTTGAAGTGACCGTACATATATTTATTAACAACTACTCAAATATCTGAATACGGTGGTTCAACAAATCAGTCACAACTATCCTACCATCACTAAGAACTGCTGTGGCTCTTGGACAGCTGAACTTTCCTGGCCCACTCCCTCCTTTTCCAAACTTTGCTACAAATTTGCCGCTCAGTTCAAATACCTGAACTCTGTGATTGTTTCTGTCACAGACCATCAGGTGTCCTGCCTTGTTAACTGACAAAAAACGAGGTCCATTGAACTATAAATATAGAGGCAAGACTATTTTTGCTCACTATTTCTATTTTTATTGTTATCTCATTGTCAATCAAATTAGTTTTACATATTTCCGCTGTTACATCATACAGCTATCTATGAAGCATCACCCCAATTCTCTGTTAATTCCCACTGCACCTGAAGAAGGCTGGTTTGGCCAGCCGAAATATAGTGCTCCGTCTTAAAATTTACTTATCTACGTTGTATCGGTCTTGCCTCTATATTTATATTTCATATTCGTTATTTTGGGCCGATCAGATCATCGCTGATCCAACGTACAAGAGTAGGAGTATCGTCCACGGTTGCCTGCTGAACATTTCACACTTATTCCTATTCCAAACAATTTCATGAGACTTTCGAAATGAACAACAAAGTACTTGAAAAACAATCGCTCCTCGAGAAGACAAACCCAGAAACGACTAGCGGTGGCGATTATTGTCTGAGAAGTAAGCGCTATCATAATGGTCAAGGGCAAATCACCAAAAANAATTTCTTTACGTATATCAAAAATTTTTAGCCCAAAATTCATTCAGTACAAATTAAACCCATTGAAACTTACGTGTAACACGTGCCTGTAAAAAGTCAAAATTTTGGAGAAACCAAGAAAGCAAACACGATGCGGAGTAAATATTTATGATGGTCACGCCAAAATACTTCTAGAAGAAGCAGCAAGTGAACGCAAGTTACATGTACAGTCTTTGATCAAGTCGCAAAAAGAAAAAATTGATCAGAAGAAAAACGAAATCAGTCGCTGAAATGGAAATAATTTGAATATATCAACAAAGTTGAAATGGTAAATTGGCCACCGTTACGATTATAAAAGCTGACGTTTCGAGCGTTAGCCCTTCGTCGGAGCGAAGCCGTTAGCGTTAGCGTTAGCCCTTCGTCCTTCGCTCCGACGAAGGGCTAACGCTCGAAACCTCAGCTTTTATAATCGTAACGGTGGCCAATTTACCATTTCAACTTTGTTGATATATTCAAATTATTTCCATTTCAGCGACTGATTTCGTTTTTCTTCTGATCAATTTTTTCTTTTTGCGACTTGATCAAAGACTGTACATGTAACTTGCGTTCACTTGCTGCTTCTTCTAGAAGTATTTTGGCGTGACCATCATAAATATTTACTCCGCATCGTGTTTGCTTTCTTGGTTTCTCCAAAATTTTGACTTTTTACAGGCACGTGTTACACGTAAGTTTCAATGGGTTTAATTTGTACTGAATGAATTTTGGGCTAAAAATTTTTGATATACGTAAAGAAATTATATTGCAAAATTTTCACTTATTGGGAGCTCCGCTTTTAGGCTTGGCTAAATCTATATATTACTCTCACACTAGTATTCTCAGTGTTTACGAACGTTCAATCAAGGGTTTCCTCTCTTTTTTTTTTTTTTTGGTTGTTTTTACTTCAGAATGTGCGGAAATCAGCTGAAATATCGAAAAATGTCCATTTTTCGTCTTCTTTGGAGGGACCTGGTGGAAACTTCATGGTACGGTGAAATCCAGCATCACGCCATCGTGATAACGTACATGTTTATGACAAATGCTGGTGTTACCGGATAGTTTCGTGTAGATCAGCCAACTTTAACATGTTTCAAATGACAAACAAGTATACACCGAATGCAAATATGGCGTCCAATTTGAATTGCCATTGTTCTGGACTGACTAGCCTCGTCTTCACGTGGAAACACAAAAGGATTATTACATGTGTGAGAGGCTAGTCAGTCCAGACCAATGGCAATTCAAATGGGACGCCATATTTGCATTCGGTGTCTAACGGTGTATCGTCAGAGGATTTCGGATTGCTCAAATTCCCATGAAAGAAGGTACTGTACTCGGAATCTGGATGATATGCACACGATTTAAGGTACATGTTTGTAGTTACCGCCGTCAGGTAGTCCTCCATGAAGGTTGATCAATATTTTTAAAACATTAAAGCTAGAGGCGAGATTTCTCTTCGGGATATTGTTTAGAAGATAACATCCTTTCAAAGTCGTGCACTTTTCATTTGTCTGAAACTTTTTTGGTTGAGAACATTAGATATAAACATTGCCAATTTATGCAATATCTGATTTTTGAGCTTCGTCCGCGAATTGCCACCATGAAAAGTAGAGGACGGCCCGCAAAGATTTTTACATATTTTTAAAACTAGAATGTTATAACCAAGTAAGAGCGTAGTTTCAGGTCCAGAATTGGTGTACTTTTGGAGAAAGTTAGACAAACGTTTTCCCTGTTTTACCCTACAGCAAAAATGACCGAAACTGTTCCAAGATAAATAATCTATTGGTATGTTCAAGTTCGCTCCCAGGGAGAATTTAATGCATCAAAGTAAAGACGAATGATGTCACTATGTATACTAGAAGTACCAATCTGTAATGTTCTATTAAGCTTGAGATAGAGAAATAAACATTTTACACATTTTTTGCCATGTTTTTGTATGAAAATGAGGCCCCAGGCCTCGAACGAGCAGCCGTTGTTACCATGGCAACAAGAGTGCTGCAACCTTTAAAAAGGGCATTTTTATGCATCCCCCTGAGTGCCTAACTGCATGCAAAATTTGAACGGGGGTTGAAAATTTTCATTTCCCAAGATGTTTGTAAATTTTCATTTCCCCAAGGATGTTTGATTCTTACAGAGACACGTTCTTACTCGACGGCGATTTTGCTAAATCGGTAACGCCTTCAATTCGAACCAATTCAATTCAATTCAATTCAATCCGCAGAACTGCAAATCCGGCCAGAATATAGGCTCCGTGTAGCCTCTTGTTCAGTAACGGATAGTTGCTTCAAAATATTCTTCCATATAATTTTGGAGTGGAAAGCTCTATTTTATCTCCAACAGCCTCTGAACAAAGATATTTTCCGGTCTCCGTTCTTCGAACAAGTGAAAATAGAGTGAACGAAGAGAAAAGTATCATTTTTCAAAGCATAATAACGCGGCTTCTAACTGGTCGTTGCCTATCTGGATTTTGCCCTGTGCATGCGAAATTTCACGATAAAANGGGAAATCCGAATTGAAGGATTCGAGTCTTCAGTTTTATACTTTCTTTCGGAGGCCAAGACACATTTTCGTCGCAAAATGGCAGTTACGATGAGTAGACAACGGTAAGCATAACTTTTATTTCCACTTTTTAATATATGCAATGTTAACCGTGCAGTTTCAGTCGTAATGAATTTCCATACACGGCCTCAAGTTTGGAAACTTCTCGAAAGCATTAATTACCCACAATCGATTTACATTTTGCACCATGCGTACCTCAAATGAGCAGCCAGTGATGACGAGGAGTACGTCAGAAGATAAAAAATGTCATATTCTACAAAAATGTGCCACGAACTTAATTATAAACATCAGCCCCAAGATCAGTCCAGTTTTCCAGCTAGAGCTGTAGTCTGCTAAATCGCCTGTCATGTTTCCCGGAAAACTTCCATCCTTGCGACACATTCATCATATTCATCGGCACCGGTTTTATAATTGCGTTTGTATCTGTGGTTAACGAAGATCATTCGAAGTTAGATAAAGGTAACCTATTTACAGCGACAGCCCCTTAAATGAATCGACCGATTGCTGTGATTATTCCATTTGATGACAATGTCTTTACTCTAGCATGTAGCTGAATGGCAGTTTCTTTCTTCACCGTTTCCAAATGTATTGTGACGTTGTTTTCGTAAAATGGGACTCTGAGAAGCCCCGAGGTTTTCAAAGAATCTTTTCGAATATAATCCATGATGAGCATTAATCTGTCCGTACTTTGACCCTGGGAAGAAAATTCGATGCATATTCAAATTTTAATTTCAAAGCCAAGTAACACACGTAGAAACCGCCACTTCGTTTGCGTGACAAAGAATTATAAAGGCATAATGCACGATCCTCGCAGTCAGAACGCTATTTATGCAATTGCGAAAATCAGACCTGAAAAAAATCAGGCCAGTACGGGACTCGAACCACTGACCTCTGCGATACTAGTGCAGCGCTCTACCAATTGAGCTAACAAGCCAACTGGTAGAGCGCTGCACTAGTATCGCAGAGGTCAGTGGTTCGAATCCCGTACAGGCCTGA